TTTAGGAATCCTCTGCTGTGAAGAGCTGTGTGCTGGAGAAGGTCCAGGTGGTCACTGGTTCCTGATCAGATGCAGTATAATAGGAGCAGCCCCACTGCAGAACAACATGTAGAAGTGCAATTTATCATCGGTTCCTCGGATTATCCTGGATTGTTGAACTGTTTTTAAGTAAGAGAAATGATTAGAGCAATGTAATTTAAATTCTGGGATTTTAGCTTTGTGGATCTTTGAACTGACAGTGTTGGAAAGGAGTCTTCTCCAAGTATTTCATGTGCAGTATCTCATTAATTTTAGTATGGTTTTACTGGCCAAATTGTTTTGCTTTTTCTGGAAAATATTTTTATTCCCTTTTATCTTCTCAAAATTATTTGTAATATTTAAATTTAGTTCTTCTAATTTCTATTTTAGGACATTTCATGTAGTTCAAACTCTTCACTGTCATTTGTCACCTCATATTTAAAACAAAGTAACTATTACAAAGTCTATTTTGATGACTCGTGACAGTAGCTGCATTTAAAATAAAAGTATCATTTTTTTATTAATCTGTATGGCCTTACTCTTTGTAGCTGTTGGGCCAGAAAGCACCACCTTGGAGACTGATGCAAACTAATGTGCACAAGTTTGGGTCTTTCACTCCCTTTTCTTCACAGCTGACTCTCCCTCTCTCATATCGTGGAAGGTTTGACAGATAATTTCTCTTTGGTTTGTTTTTCTTTTTCTCCACTTCCCTACTCACGTTGAATTTTTCACTGTTTACTTTTCTTTGACTTCCTGCCTTAGCCCTGGATGCTTTTTCAGCGTGTGGAAGCTGCTGCAGAAGGAAAAAGCTGTTCCTGCCCACTGTATTTTTTCTTAGCCACTCTGCCACAGCGACCTGCCTTCCCTGGGGAGCATTCCAGGATCCAGCTACTGACACTTGGGCAGCATGAGAAAAATAATGAAAATCTTGGAGTATTTGTAGACCCACGTCTTCCCGCAGAGAGAAGAGATTCACTTGTGACAGGCTGGAAGCAAAGGAGCAGGTGGGAGCTGTCCATGGCTGCTGCTCATCAGTCGTGGGGGCAGTGAGGGGTGGGCAGGAGGAGCCAGGTGAGCAGGGATTGACTGGAAACCAGAGCAATTGGAAGTTCTTCCAGCCAACTTCATTCCTACCAACAAAAGTCTCTTAACAACAACCACCTCTCCCTTGGGTAGCTGTACCTCAGCTGAGGCCTGTGCTCTGCCTCTGGCTGCATCAGGAGGTCCTTGTAGGGGCACCCCAAGTCTGGCAGTGGGTTCCTAAATTGTTGTTGCAGGGCAGTGTGAGGCTGGAAGGGGTTCACACCCTGCTGGCTCCCAGTGGCCTCCAGCTGAACCCTTCCAGCAGCACCAGCAGCTCCTGACAAAAATACTTGTGTCGTTGGGGGCACCTGGGTGGCTGGTGTGTGGGGGGTTAATTCCAGGCCTTGCTGGGGGTGGAAGGATGGGCTGCAGCTCCTTCTATGCCTGATCAACACTGACAGCTCCCGTGAGGGAGTGTGAAGCAGCAGTGGGTGCTGGTGCAGCTGCTCCCAGCTGTGCTCCAGCCTTTCTTGTCAACTTCTAAATTTGACTTGGCTGTTGGACTGGCTGTGCAGAAGCCTTGCTCTACCTTTTGTTCTGTGGCCTTTATGTTGTCTTCAAAAAATAACAAAAACTCAAAAGCCAAGCAGATCCTCAAAGAAGCCAAGCAGAAACTGGCTTTATTTGTGGTCCAAGTCTGTTGCCACAGAGAATTTTTGACCCTTTTTCCCCTGGTGAGGAAATTTGGATGGTGCTTTCAGCAGCAGCTCAGCAGATTGTGGTCTTCAAGTCTGCAATAACAGACAAGAACACAGGATGGACGGATCCCGAGTTGTGTCTGGATTGTTCCTTAACATATTCTACCTCCTTCTTACATAAATTCTAACTTTTAAATTAGCAGTACCCATGTTTGCAGTGCTGTATGTGTGGGCCTTAGGTCTCAGCCAGTGTTTTTGGGGCCCCCAGTGTTCTTGGAGCTGGGCTGAGCCTCTGCAGGCCCAGCCCCTGCCAGGGCCTGGGGCTGGATCCCAGAAACAGGTGGATGTGACACCATTTGAGATGGTGTCTGTAGTTTCTGCAGTGAATGATTTTTGGCCAAAGCTGTTGTCTGTTCAGTGCTGCAGCCATGCCATGCACCATTTGAACAAGGGTGTGTGTGTAAATCATTTCTGTGATAGTTGATCTCAGCTAGGCCCTTTCTGAGCTGTGATTAGGTGGAATTTCCACCTGTGATTAGGTGGCAAGTCATAGTTTATGTCCTGTGTTTGCATGACTGCTCACAGCTGACCCTTGGGACTTTGGCTGAATAGGCTTTAGAAGGAAAAAGCCTTTCCCCCTGCTCAGTGTGCCATTGTCAGGCTGAGGAATTTATAATTTGTTAAAAAAAGCTGCATCTGGGACTGAGTTTTAAGCCTTTGTGTCAAGTATTTCCTACTTGATGAGTCATGGAGTTGGTAATGACCATGGCTGAGACCAGCTTTGCTTTGTGGCTCATTACTCTGGTGTTTCCAAGATTGCGCTGCTCTATCCTGTGTGCCAGGGCTGAGGTGGGCATTCCAGAGAGCTGTCCCAAGAGCAGTTGCTCCAACAGCCAAAGCCTGGGCTCTGAGTTCATCCTCCCCTCCTTAGCTCATCCCAAATTCCAACTCCAGATGTGGTCAGGCCCTGCGCAGGTGGCTCTTCCAGCAGCCAAAGTGTAGGATATAAATTAATACCATTTGGCCTGGTGGGTCCCACCTCTCTGTAGTAAATCGTGGAGACTTTTTTTAGCCTTGACCTAGTACTGAGGGCCTGTAGAGATGTCCCTGTGTCAGGCAGTATCACTGCAGCAGTGGTGCAGGGTGAGGGAGAGCCTTGGAAGGTTTAGAACTCGTTAGCTGAGATAAAACCAGATTAAGGGAAAGTAAAAGCAAAGCAAGCCACAGGATTAATTCCCTGCTTCCCAGCAGCAGGTGGGTGTTCAACCAGGTCCCAGAAAGCCAGGCTCCATCATGGGTAATGGTGACTTGGGAACATCCTTCCCCCTTCCTTCTTCCCCCAGCTTGATATGCTGAGCACAACAGTCCATGGAATGTCCCACTTTTGCTGGGCAGGGCTGAGGAGCAGCAAAGGCAACAGGAGCAGGAGCAACATCCTCCTCAGCACCAGCAGAGGCACGGCCCCACCAACCACACGACCTCTGCCCCAACCAGCACAAGAACAAGCACAAGACACTTGAGCCTCTTTTTTTTAGCATCTGTGGCAGATTTTTTTCTTTGAGAAAACATGATTGCAGGGCATTGTCTCTGGTGGGTGCTCAGGACTTGGCATCACAGCATCCAAGAGGGGAATGCAAATGTGTCCTGCTGCTGGGAACAGAGCTTGACATCCCAAAAGAACTAGAAACCAGACACCCCAAAGGAAAACAGGAGGATATCATTTATAGATGTAAAATATTTTTATTTGTAAATGCTGATCTTCTAAATCTGTTTCCACAAATTCCAAAACCCATAACACTCTGTATACTTCAAAAAATTCTTCTTTTTTTGTGTTGTTTTTGTTGTGTTTTGTTTTTTTTTGCCAACATTAGATACTATTATACAGAACAGAAAAAAAGAAACCTGTAGGACAAATACTGGTAGGATGTTGGAATATTGTACAAGAGAAGAAAAATATTCAAGAAACAATTTCATACAGCTATTTATCAAGAGAAAAATATATACAATTGATTTATTCTGTAAGATAAAAATACATCATGCCATATACATTACAAGTTCAGAACTGTATTACTGAATATACCAACAGTTTACAGTCCACTTTCATTGTGCACACAAAAAAAAACTTCATTTTTTTTTAAATTTTTATTTAGCCTGTGAAGTGTCAGTACCAGAATTTTAAAGTACAAAATAAAAAGCTAACCTGGTTCAAAATGCTGATTAAATTTCTACAAGCAAACACAAAACAGTGTTTATTTTTTTAAAAGAAATGTAAACAAAAAACAATCCATACAAACACATCTTTAAATTACATTTTCCAAAACCCTATTGCCAGAGTCCTGCAGCTGCAAGCACATTACACCTAATTTTTTTTCCTTGTTTTCCTTTTAAGAAGGCTATTGTATCAGACTTAAGCTCCAACTACATGATTCTATGCTGTTTACATGATTTAATGTAGGCTGAACAGTCACCTAATCTTGACTATTTTTTGCTGAAGAAAAAACCCAACAATGTCCAGCCTCTATTTTGGGTGGTTTTAGCAGTTATTCACAGTTATCACAAATTGTAAGCACAAAAAAAAAATAAAAAATAAAACAAAAAACCTGACTTAAGAAATAGGGATGCAACAATATAATACAAATAAAATTAATCTAAGTTACCCAAACATCTACAAAAGTCCAGAGTTGTAATATACAGGCCCTTTCCCAGGCTTAAGGTTTACTTAAAAAAAATTCTGAGAAGACCACAGTTGAGACTGCTTGGAACATAAAAACCCTTCTCTCTCGAAACTGAGATTTTGGTTACTCTGTGTCTGGAATTACGTGGCTGTTAATGCAGATCATATTGGAACATCCCTATTGACGGTTGAGAATAAGCACCCGAACTGCTGCAGAGTCTGGTAGCATTTGGTCAATAACTATTTTTATACTGTATTTTTTTTTTTTTAATTTTAATTTTTTCTCAAAATATTTACACTTTTGTACAAAGTAACAGAGTTTGTTAGTTCTGCAGGTAACAGCAGCAGCTTGGCTTTCTTCTAACTTTTCTTTTTAAAAATAGCTTCATTCACTTATTCAATAATAAATACAAAAAGGTTCTCTTATTTTACAGAAATCAAAAACTACAATAAACTGACTCATGGAATCAAGTATTTAAATGTATTTTAGTGCAAGTTATTTTTTCCCTTAGCTCTATCCCTAAGGAAGTCATTTCAGTACATTCCTTGTTCAGTGGTGTCTACTTTTATTTAAAATTCTTCTTTAATTAGAGGGCCTGCCCCTTTATCAAATAAGGCTGTGGCCAGCACTTTGGACTTCTCCCTTTCGCTGGTGATTTCAGTCTTACATTCATATGTGCCCCCCTGCACCCCTGCAGGGGCCACCAGTTCTTTGCCCCAGTTCAACAGTTTCTCCTTAGTGAGCTCAAAAACAAAAGTGCTGGACCTTTTCTGTTCATTCCATTTAACCTCCACCTGGCTGGAAAGTTCACTTCAGATGTTGCAGACTTGCTCCTGGCGCTTGTTTTGTTGGGTTGTTTCTTTTCTTTTTTCTTTTAAAATACTTGAGTACTTCCAGAAGTGATTATTTCTCCCCCCCCCTTTCAAAAAAGGCAACGATTTTCCATCGACAAAATCAAAATGTGAATCACTTCTTCCTTGGGACAAGCAACCCTCAAAGACAGCAAGGAATGCCTTCTAGTTCATCCACTTTCGGCAGTTGACAGCTCCACAGTGACATGGAATCTTGTGCTGGTCGTCTTCAAAATCAAACTTATAGTCATAGCAAAGCTGGAGGAAGATGAAGGAGAAGGGTTAGGGACAACCAGGATTTACCCACCCCTGGGTTCA